GAATAACATGCAGTGTCACTCAAACATGAATCTGTGCTTCATTTACCACACTAGTGTCTTGATAATCTATGCAAATGTCTTTTTAACAAAGGGTATGACCCTTGTGTAGTTTTTTTCTCCCCATGTGCTGCTCCTGGATTTACTCCATGGGAAAATAAATCTATATCTATTTTAGGTCTCCACGTCATTCTTTTCAACTTGGCCCACAACTCCACCCACCAGTGAATGTTCTGTTGAAACATTTTAGAGTTTTTCAGACACTTGCATAATAGCTGCAAGCATTTTTATAGTTTAGAGTATTTGAACAATGACATCACAAGATGAGTTCTACAAATACCATTTAAAATCACACAATCTAACCAGGAATGAGAAGAATCTGAAATGTAGAGAGCCATTGCGCTTTGGGCTCCGATAACTTATAAACAATAAAATACCAATGAAATTACAAACCAATTTCAAAGCAAATGTTGCCACCAAAGATTATGCAAAGAATGGTTTGTTTAAATTGTGCAAACAATATTATTCCTAAACATCAGCTGTATTGTGATGTGCATTCCCATATTAATTCTAAATGTGGACATTCATAAATAGACATTTATGGCAAGCTGTTTTTGCATTTAGTCCTTAAATTAAATGTATCTCTTTTTATGTTACTAGTACATTTTCTTGAACATACATACATTTATTATCCAGTCAAACAACAAGTTTCATTTACATGCAAAAAATTTAATTGGTTCTTTGTGATTCTGTAAATAATATCTGTGTTCTAATTCAGGGGCTGCATCCTTCAAAGTTCATGAAGGTTGAACCGAGCATTGTTAAACGAGAAAAACTAACAACTGTGACAGGTCCAATAGACGAGCAGCAGTAGCATTTATACTGAACTTGAAAGATATAACTGTCTGAAAACAAAACAGGGTTCACATGTCTAAATATGTTAATCTTGGTACAATATTTACATAATTACACTTAAATGCATGAATGTTTCGCCAATCATTATAACATATTCGGGTCTTTAGCGACCCAGACCTATGTATCCAGTACTGATGGACCTCTAACTGCTACAATAGCAAAAAATTATCTTGATATTTTAAGAACAATTACAGAAGAATAAAATAAAGCATATTTTGTTTCCTTTTGAAACTTAAAAGGGTTCAATTTGAGCAGATGATTTTACCATCGCTGTCATCGTCAGAGCGCACTTCCACAGTACATTCAGGATCTCAACCATATTCTCAAAACTATCTGTCAGACTCTGTTCTGTGTTTTGCTCCCCACGTGCTGTCCATGACCCGTTTTCCCTCATGTGGAATTATGTTTATTGATCCCAGGTGTTTCTCGTCAAGTCCTGTGTATTTATAGTGATTTCTGTTTGAGTTCGCTGTGCTGTCTCGATCGTCAATCCTCGTTCCTACGTGTGTGCTCCATGTGGTAAATAAAGACTGTTGAATTCTCCTACGTCTCCTTCGCTCCTCGCTCCGACACAGTAGGCAACACCGTGACACTATTGTTTTCAATGATTTCATATTCAATATTTTGATCACTGGCAGTTTATTCACCACATCCAGCATCAAATGGCAGTGACATTTATATTTCATTGCGTATAGTAATTGCGCTGCAGTAAAGCCATTCAAACCAGTTCAATTTTTGCTGATGATATTCGTTTGTTTTATGCCTGCGGTAATTTTGAGTGAAACATCACGTCATCATTGTGTATCAAACAGTGCCACCTTGAGGAAAAAAGATGCATTGGGAAAAAAGATGCAACCGGGAACACTTCCCATAACACCCGATATACTTGCTACATCGTTAGAAGAATGGCATCTACGCTAATATTAGTCTGTTTCTTTCTTATTCCGAGGTCACCGTAGCCACCAGATCCAGTCTGTATCCAGATCAGATGGTCACTGCAGTCACCTGGATCCAGTACGTATCCAGCCCAGATGGTGGATCAGCACCTAGAGAGGACCTCTACAGCCCTGACTGCCAGCGGAGCAGAACAACTAGACGAGCCCCAGAGACAGATCCCCAGTGAGGACCTTGTCTGCTAGACGGCCACTGGGACAAAACCACAGGAACCAGTCGAGTCCTCTGCACAATGTGACATTGCTGCAGCCTGGAATTGAACTGCTGGTTTCGTCTGGCCAGAGGAGAACTGGCCCCCCGACTGAGCCTGGTTTTCCCCAAGGTTTTTTTCTCCATTCTGTCACCGATGGAGTTTTGGTTCCTTGCCGCTGTCGCCTCTGGCTTGCTTAGTTGGTGACACTTAATTTCCAGCGATATCGTTGACTTGATTGCACAGACACTATTTAAACTGAACTGAGCTGGATGATGACATCACTGAATTCAATGATGAACTGCCTTTAACTGAAAATTGAGTGTTTACTATTGTCATTTTGCATTATTGACACCATATTTTCCTAATTAATGCTGTACAGTTGCTTTGACACAATCTGTATTGTTAAAAGCACTATATAAATAAAGGTGACTTGACTTGACTTGACATTGCACAAATTGGGTCATCAGATATGTAAATATAGTCTCGCACGAAAAAAATACTCACACATTTACATACCTCGGGTCTGTAGTGACTCTATACACTTTTTACAAAAATTAACCAGAAAATAGGCATTCTTTTACATTTTACTATTTTTTCTTGTTATATTGTTTATAATGCATAGATTGAGAAATACTAAGAAAGTTGATGTCTAACTTTAAAAAAATAAAGGAGGGAGAGGGTACAGAATGAGGTCCCGGGTCGCTAAAGACCCGAGATATGCATTTAAGGGTTAAAAGAATACAAATTGAGTGCAATGAATCTTGGTATAGTCTGGGTCATTAAGGATCCATTAATTGTATCCGTTGTGGCCTGGAAAAAAGGACACATTTAAACGAGACAACGAGATAATCACAAAAAAATTATATGTCGATATTTTGTGGGATTTTATAGATAACAATAATTAGACAATATTTAGCTGAGTCTGTTATTGTGCTGGTATCTTTAGGACTACCGTGGACAGCTGACTCCTAAAGTTTTTGATATTCTTTATATTCTGTGTGGTGGTCAGTTCACAGCAGTGATAGAAATCAATCTTTTCCAATAAGTTTAAATAGATTTTTACCTTTCATGGCCATTTTTACTTTTATAAAGCCATTTTTATTCTAAAAGCGTGCATCATCTTTTAAGTCAAGTTCTTACATTTAATCAGTCATGATCAGTCATTTAATCAGACATTTGGGCTGTTACCAAGCAAATTAAATTAGTAACAAAGTTCATCTTTGCAATGCAGAGGAAACACAGAAACTGCATCTAAAGTGGCATTTAGATGTGTTTACATACAGTTTAATGCAGCTCAGAGGGACATGGAATGCTTTAACTTGCAGTTACAAATTCATAAACAATGTTTTGATATTTTAACATTGAATACTGATATTTGAAATTATAAAAAAATGAAAAGATACTTTACTTGGTTAGTTGTGACCTAATGGTTAGTCGGACTTGTAACCCGAAGGTCACAGGTTTGAGTTTGTCACTGTACTGGCAGGGGTTGTAAGTGGGGGGAGTGAATGACCAGCGCTCTCTTCCACCCTTAATACCATGACTGAGGTGCCCTTGAGCAAGGCACCAAACCCCCAACTGCTCCCTGGGCACTGGAGCAAAAGGCTCGCCACTGCTCCGGCTGTGTTCACGGTGTGTGTGTGTGTGTGTGTGTGTGTGTGTGTGTGTGTGTGTGTTCACTACTCACTGCTGTGTGTGCACTTGAATGGGTTCAATGCAGAGCACAAATTCCGAGTATGGGTTACCAAACTTGGCAAATGTCACAACTTTCACTTTCACTTTCACTTAAATGTGAAATTAAAACCGCCAGCTGGTGGCAGCAAGTCACTGTTAATAAGTGAGCCATTGCGATTGAACCAAATCATTTAAACGGGTGATTCGTTCAGGAACGAATCACCTCCATGTTGCTCAGAGACACAAAACAGTGCTGTGGCTGTGTTTGTAATTATTTTTTGTTGGCGAAATAGAGCAAAAACAGGCAACATGGTGTCTAAAACATAAGTATTTTGATTAACTTCTTGTTTATTGAACTGTTGTAAAAAAAAAAATCTATATCACTTGATTTGCAATCATGCTGATTTTTGGAGGAAAAAAACAGCACTCTTACTGTGATGAAATGATATAAATATATAAATTTTCTGCCTCCATATCTTGAATTTTGTGATCATTATTAATGTATTTTAATAGACTAGATCATGCAGAGAAAGAACGAACTCTAAACGCGCACTAGACTACATCACGTAATGTACGCATGCACTCTGTATATCAAATAATATCAAATCACACTTCATTAAAACAACAATTACATTATCACAGACGATATATATTGCACACCCCTAGCTGTGATGCATTCAGTCTTCAAATGCAGCCTTCGAAGAATGAAACCTCTGAATTGTGACACAGCTAATGTGTGTTGTATCCTAATTCTCAGTTAAATGGTTTACCCTGTTTTATAATTGTGACTATTTGTGTTTACAATTAAGAGAATGTGCCATTAATCGTTTCAGGTCGAATGAGTTTTGCAGTTGTTATTAGATTATTTTCATGTGCATTTCTGGTAATTATTGATTCACAGCTTGTAAGAACATAATAATAAAAACATGGCACCTTTGATAAATTATATAAATGATAACCATTTTAAGTAAAGTAAAACATTTATAGGTCAACTTAAGTAGAGCTATTCCAAAAATATTAATAAGTCCACATCTGGAATAGTTAGTTGCTAGTGAAATTGAAAAAGATTTAATCTTAAAAGGAATACTTAGAATACTAAAATATTAGACTAATGAATAAACAAAAAGCACCTACATTTTGTGTTGTTTAAAGGAATAAATGTTATAATGGCTTGCCATAGCGCTTGGAGAGAGCGAGCGAGGGAGGGAGGGCATTCTGCTTAAAATGCTGTGGATGTGACAGCCAATAGACCAGACTGTCAGCCTCAGCTTGGGGAGGGAATGTGGAGAAACCTCCACGAGGAAAATGCGCGCGAAGTGACGCGACACGCGCCGCTCTACAAGTGCTCTAACCATATTCCAAGAACAGCGCGAGAACCGGGGCGCGAAAACGACTCGCCCTGTTGAGGGGACAAACATGACTGTGGTGCCCGGGGAGAACCTCGACGAGACTGTGGCATTGGCAGCCCTGTCCCAAGATGTTTACGACCCTGAACGGGCAGACCAGGAGTGCTGCGAGCGGGTGGTTATCAACATCTCCGGGTTGCGCTTCGAAACCCAACTAAAAACACTGGCGCAGTTCCCCGCCACCTTACTCGGTGACCCCAGGAAAAGAATGCGCTTCTTTGACCCTCTGAGGAACGAGTACTTCTTTGACAGGAACCGACCGAGTTTTGATGCCATTCTCTACTACTATCAGTCTGGAGGCAGGCTGAGGAGACCCGTCAATGTTCCTGTGGACATCTTTATGGAGGAGATCAAATTCTACGAGCTAGGAGAAGAAGTCATTGAGAATTTTAAGGAGGACGAGGGTTTCATCAAGGAGGAAGAGCGACCTTTGCCCGAAAACGAGTTTCAGAGGCAGGTCTGGCTGCTGTTCGAGTACCCAGAGAGCTCTGGACCCGCGAGGGGCATCGCAATCGTCTCGGTGCTCGTCATTTTGATATCAATTGTCATCTTTTGCTTGGAGACTTTACCTGAGTTTAGGGAGGATGGGAAAATGTACGAGGAGCACCTCGCATTCAATGGAACTGCTAGTTCAAAGAAGCCCAATCCATTCACAGACCCCTTCTTCATTGTGGAGACCCTTTGTATAATCTGGTTCTCCTTTGAATTGCTCGTGAGGTTTCTCGCGTGCCCAAGCAAGCCCGCTTTCTTCAAGAATATCATGAACACAATCGACATCGTGGCTATTATCCCCTACTTCATCACTTTGGGTCTGGAGTTGGCCGAGCATCAGGGCAACGGCCAGCAGGCGATGTCTCTGGCCATACTGAGGGTCATTCGCTTGGTGCGGGTGTTCCGCATATTTAAGCTTTCCAGACACTCGAAAGGGCTTCAGATCTTGGGCAAGACACTGCAAGCGAGCATGCGGGAACTGGGTCTCCTCATATTCTTCCTTTTCATTGGAGTTATTCTGTTCTCCAGCGCCGTGTATTTCGCCGAGACGGACGACCCCGACTCGGGGTTCAGCAGCATCCCCGATGCCTTCTGGTGGGCAGTGGTTTCCATGACAACTGTGGGCTACGGGGACATGTGCCCAGTCACCATCGGTGGCAAAATAGTGGGCTCTTTATGTGCCATCGCTGGTGTGCTCACCATTGCGCTTCCAGTGCCCGTCATCGTGTCCAATTTCAATTACTTCTATCACAGGGAGACCGAGCACGAGGAGCAGATGCAGTACACGCATGTAACGTGTGGCCAGCAGCAACCCTCCTTTGGTGAATTTAAAAGGAGTGACAGCAAAGCGTCCCTTTCTAAATCAGATTATTTCGATTCAGAGGATGGAGATTCAGTTAAGTACACCAACTGCAGCCCCCATAAAGCATACACAGGGAAGCTTACTGATGTATGAATGTAGAACGCCAACAATTATAAACCCAAAGAAGAGCACCTTTCTCTGTGAGTACTCCCTCATCCCTTGCGCTGGCTTGAGTACATCTGTAATAATCTGCGAGGAACACTTCATTTGGAAACGACGACTTTTTCTAAACGGTCTTCCATTGTTGTGATTGTAGACCATCGAAGCGCGAGACGTAAGGCGCAAAAATAAAAAGAGAATCAAATAGAACGTATGTTATATATAAGCAAGCCCAATTAAATCAACGTGTAGCACTTTATTCGTATACTCTTAGTCCACAAATTCGTGATCCGTTAGTTTCCCCACAAATTTGGTGACAGTACGATACAGTTTACAAATGGCTAATTTGAAAGAAATAGTAGGACCAATATATGTAACTTTTTGTTATTTTCTAACGAGGACAGTTCAACTGCAAGGTCGTTTTGGGAAAAAAAGAAAAAAGAAGACTTGCCCCAGCTTATTTAAAAATGGCAACTGTTATTATTATTACCATTTTAAAAGCTAATTGTGTAATGTGTAACGTTACATTTGGAAATTTGAGAAATACATATCTCTGTGCTTTTTGAGGACGATTAGTAGAAGAGCAAGCCAGCTTTGTGATTTTTAATTTAGGATCACACTGCATTTTCAGGTTGCCATAATATCAGTGGCTCTGCATTAACATTAAAAGGTTATGGCATCTTAAAATTACTTGATAATTTCATTCGAACTATGTAGAGCACTTCAGGGATAGACTTACACTGATAAGCAACACCAAGCTTCTTCACTTCTTCATATTATCAACAGATGTGTAGGGAATGAATGAGGAGAGGCTCGATTTCAACAATGTGCACTCAAATCTGGACACGAGGATTTTTTTTAATACACTAGCGTTATCTAGTGGTTAAAGGTGATAACTGCAGTCTTTAAGATACTAAATGGGTTTCCATAGCAACTTTCCAGACGGTTCTGGAGACATTGGGCTATTATTGTTCCCTTAATTTATTCAATTGAAAGATGGCTTTTGGTGCTTTTATTTTAAAACAAGGTACATTAATGAATTCAGTTAAATGGAAAAAAAAAATCAACTCTCAGCTAGGCAGGTTTGCATTCTTATTAGGTCTCGTTAAACTAAAAGAGCCCACAGAGGCTTATCCAATATATGAAATGTGAATACAAAGTAACAATATAACACCATATAACCCACATCCGTAAAAATGGAGAAACATCTACATTTCTGCACTGCAACAGCATCAAAGGGGATCATGAATTCAGCACAAAAAGGGATTCATTATGACGTCACTGTGAGGAAGGAAAAACTCATCAGTCTATTGGCTGGACTAGGAGAATCAACTCATGCAGTATCAGTAATGGACTAACTGAAACTGGAAATAACTGCACAGATTTCCGGACACACCACATCAAGTTTTTTTTTTTTTACTCTGGATTTTCACATGAACAAGAAGAGTTCAGACAAGAAGAGGTATGTAATACTGCACATCCATGAAAAATAACTGTGTATGTGTTGTAAAGTATCTTAGAGCTATTTGTGAGGAATATTTATATTTTGTACTATTTCTAATAATAATATATGAAAGCAATACTTTTAGGCCCATATACAAATAATATAACTGCAAACAGTATAAACGGGAAATATTGACAAGTTTTAAGAATTATGTCACTAAAACATTGTCACAAAAATTTTTTTGCACAGATAAGTATGTTTTTCATAGACGATTTTTGTTCATAGACAATTTAAATTATATGAGATATTGCACAATATAAAATATGAAAACAAAAAAAATAATAGAGGTCTAGAATTTGAATATTAAGATGGTAAAGGAACAAGATCAATCTTATTATTATTATTTTTAGATTGATCATAATCAACAAAGCCTGGTACCACATTCTTCCAATACAGTCTACAATAATTATGAATTTCACTCCTAATAAATCCTAAAATATTTTGCCAAAGCAATTTAGTAAATTTGAAAAAGTAAAAAAATAAAAATTATATAATTACCACAAAAATAGGAAATATATTTTAGATACTTTTTCATGTACTGGTTTGCAGGGTATTACTTTTGAACTAATTTGAAAGAAATCTAATTATTTTATTGGTTAAGAAATATACCATATACTGTTATTCTTGTTTTCATGTAGGGAACAACAAGCACATGATTGAACTAAAATTACACAACAATATGAGTATGTCTATGTCTATAAATATAATTGTTTAAAAAGTAAAAGTGTATGAGATAAGACTTGTAGTAATGGTTTGCAGGGTATTACTTTTGAACTAATTTGAAAGAAATCTAATTATTTTATTGGTTAAGAAATATACCATATACTGTTATTAATTCTTGTTTTCATGTAGGGAACAACAAGCACATGATTGAACTAAAATTACACAACAATATGAGTATGTCTATGTCTATAAATATAATTGTTTAAAAAGTAAAAGTGTATGAGATAAGACTTGTAGTATGCAGATTACAAAACTAGAATTTTTCATTCTAGAACAAGACCCCAAGTTAAAATTGACCCACTTTTCGTACACTAGAGGGCAGTGTGTGCATGTTTTTATCACTCTGTCAATATCTTTTCTGTAGTGTTTGCTGGTAAAGCCAGAATAAAGTTTAATGACTTCAGTTAGGTATTAGTTTTTTTGTTTTTTTTAACCACATTTTTACAGAGTTTCAGTAGTTTCAGAGTAATAAATTCAGCGGAACCGTCACTATATTATGTTATAATATATAATAAGATAATGCAGATTAAATAGTTAAAATCTTAAAATAGTTTAAAAAATCTTAAATATGTAATTTTATTTATTGTAATGGCTGAAATCTGTCTGAAATCCAAGGTTAAAATGGCATCCAGTTATCATAAACATTCATTGGGGGAACAACCAAATGTGAGTTCTCATGTATCAATCCAATTAGAGAATCCTCAATCTAGTTCCTAAACAGAGCAGTGCACAGCACAAATAATGTTGATTCATAAAAAGATCTTATATTAAATACATACTCTTAACCCAGGCTCAATCCACTGCAGTCACTGAACTGCCATGCCAGGTTACATGAGGAGAGAGTGGGGGTATTTCCTGACCCACTTTAACACTGTTGTGTTGCACTAACCATGTGTGTTTAATGTTTTATGGGGGAATGCTGGTTTGGTCACATGGGAAAAAAACAGAAATAAGAGTGACGTATATAGACCCCTGATATTGTATTGTGTGTTATGCTTATAGATTTTACACACACACACACACACACACACATACACACAGACAGACAGACTTGAATGCCATGTTCACTTCATCAAAGGTCATGTTATTTCAAGCTGTGGATATTTTCATAATCCAGGAACCTTTGGCACTTAAAGTTGATCAGTGGCCATCATGTGACTCTCGTATACCTCCCTCATGGCCCAGGAATATTGTCCCTTAATACTTTTTTTTCTGCTGGAAAATATGGCAAGCAAGACACAATAAGAGCGACTGCATAATGCTGTTGTCATGTGAGGCACTCGTGCTATTGGCTTGTGTTACAGCTCACAGGTGTTGAATATGTCAGTGTGACTTTGTGGCTTGCTGCAGTTGTTGGTGCAGTGAAAATGAAACAGCACAGCTTTAGCTCTGGCTTTCACAGGGGTGATATTTACATGGTTACATGGCAACATGGTGTTGATATTCCTAAGACAGTCTAGTTAGGGTTCCCTTTCAAGGGAACTTTGAAGTCTTCTAGGGGTCGCTATGTGGAATGCCTTGTCATGTCTGAAGCATACATTGAAAAAAACACCAACAACACGTTGGCCGGCGACAGCCATGACATCACTACCGGTGCGACTATAGTATAAATAGGCGCCGGGAGCACACATCATCCGCTTCGTCGTCTTCACTGACTGTTTTGTTTGAAGCGTGCATTTCTGTGGTAAGAGCGATCTCTATTCATATCATTATGTTGAGCACTAGCAAAGCATTTAGAGGATGTGTGCATCCGTGTCGTCGTTATTTGGCATCTGGTGACACACGATCTATGCGTTGTTTGTTTGGGCGAAGAGCACGCACGCGATGTCCTCAAGGGGGCAATCGGCGGGCACTGCAAGCGTTTTTCCAATGAATTTTCTCTTGTTTGTCTCTCTTTTTCGAGGAAAGAGGGCAGCCATCTGCTTCCCGCGATTCAGGACCCGCCACTGCTGAGGCACGGAGCAGAATGAGCTCGTGGGGATCGCAGGTGGATCTGGCCGATGAGTTTAAAGAGGGGTTTTTCCCTCTCGCGATCGTCGGCTGTGGACGAGAGTGAGCCGCTGGAGGATGATGTTATTTCATTAACATCGTCTGATCCAGGGCCCAGTGCTCTGCTGAGTTCAGCCCAGAAAGAGCAGGAAATGTCTGAGGAGGGAGAAGAAGCTGAGGCTGAGCCTTCCCAATCCTCCTGCCCTGCGTATGATGAGATTTTGAAAGTTATGGATCGCGCCACGGCGAAGCTTGACTTGCCGTGGAAGCGGGCAAAGAAAGTGACGTCGCAAGGTCATCTCGATGAACGTTATCTTTCTGGCCATAACCCTCCAGCTCAGGTGAGCCTTCCTTTCTTCCTGATCTCCATACAGAGATCGAGGAGGAATGGAAGAGGCTGTTTTCCTCACGCATCCATCGATTCCAGCATATGAGTTATGCCAACATCGTGGCGATGCGTGAAAACGGCTATGAGAAGATGCCCCCTATAGAGACGCTGGCCAGCTATCTCTCTATGGGTGAGATGTCCTCTCTTAAAACTCCCTCCTTGCCATCTAAGCCCCTTCAAGTCGCGGCTCGCGCTCCTCCCCGCCTGCAGGTAGGGGTAGGTGGAATCGCGGTTCAAAGGGAGGTAGGCAAGACCTAAGGGATGTGATCCAGACAAGGCGTCAGCGCTTTCATCCGGATCAGAGTGATACTTCAGTTTCTATTCATTTCCTTCGGGGGTTTTACATCTGCCCTTATCTTCCCCTTCCTAATTCCCCTGTAACCACCATCTCTCCACCTGACCGAGTTTAGGTGGGAACTTCCTGCATTACAGTCTCCTATGATGTTTGGTTGGTTCTATGGCTTCATAGTGACCACCTTACTGATGGTCCGGACCAGAGGCTTCTTTGGTCGCTTCCTGAAAGGGGCTCCGGTGCGGGAACCATGGTGGAAACGATCCATTTCTAAATATGAATATATATATATATATGTGTGTATTTAATGTGCTGGTGGTTGTGTGTATAATCCATCTGCTGTTTTCCGGGACCCGTGTGTTTCTGTCCTTTTTCTAGGGTAGGTCCTCGGTGAGCACCCACTCTGTTGGATTCAGAAGCCGGGTACTCGACTTGCAGTGTTTACTTCACTCGTCGATATGATGTCCAGCCGGTATGATAGACTGGTTTCGGGTTCATGCTTCCTGGATCATGCGGCCAGGTCACAGGCTTCTGCGGGAGCCTTCTTGATCATCAGGCCCCCGCTTCATAGTGACCACCTTACTGATGGTCTGGACCAGAGGCTTCTTTGGTCGCTTCCTGAAAGGGGCTCTGGTGCGGGAACCATGGTGGAAACGATCCATTTCTAAATATGAATATATATATATGTGTGTATTTAATGCGCTGGTGGTTGTGTGTATAATCCATCTGCTGTTTTCCGGGACCTGTGTGTTTCTGTCCTTTTTCTAGGGTAGGTCCACGGTGAGCACCCCCTCTGTTGGATTCAGAAGCCGGGTACTCGACTTGCAGTGTTTACTTCACTCGTCGCTATG